TCACAAAACGAACGAAAAAGTCCAGATTTTGCTTGGACTGGTTGTAGAGCTTGTTCCGATAGAGAGTGTTTGGCCAGATGCACTTAATAATCTGGAAGATCTCATAGCGAATGTTGAACTTGTCGAAAAACTGGGTGTGCGTCCCGGTGTGCTCTGCTTCAATATAGAACTTCATGACGGCATGCAGCAGGTATTCATTAGCAAAAGGGAAGGAGTTCAAAAGATCGACCAAAACACCGCGGGCGCCACCAGGGCGAGGCCATGTCCCTCGGAACAGAATCGAAATAAGACCCGCTTTCAGGTAAGGGTTCTTGATGTAGTCCGAACTCTCCAGGAAAGTGATACAGAGCATAACCAGCTCGTCTCCCTGGGTCGCGGTGATGATCTGGGGCATACACCACATGATGAATTTGAAGTTGCTGACAATGTCATCCACAAAGTATTCGGGGAGACATTTAAATACCTCCGGCTGCTGCTCCGGAAGAGGCAACTTAATCGGTTCCTTTGGAAAGTTGACGCCGGACACAAGCCTGAGTAGCCAAACGATGACATATCTCATGAACAGCATGGAGCGTGCCTGCCATTGATCGTCGAACAAAACACCTTGCAGACTGTACTTCAGAGCGAGACCCAAATCCAGCTTGTCCTTGTACTTCTTCAGAGCCTGTTCAAATACCCTAAGCTGCACTGGGTTGCTGATCCATCTGTGTCGCTCCAGCTCAAACCTCCTGATCGTACCCTCCATATGCCGAAGGTCCTTCTCAAGCTGGTCCAGCTTTGCCGTCAGGGACTCACTACCATAGTGATGAGCAGCAACAGTCAAAAAGAAGATTTCTGTGATAAAGTTAGAAGTCCCTTCTTCTTGTTTTGAGTAAAACGCGTCAGACGCATGCTGATCGGCATTGATCTTGGTTTCATCTTTCATATCAACGCGTGGGTTCCGGTGCAGATATCCCGCATCAATCCTGTCAATCTAGGAACCTCGTAAGCTTGGTGGACGAGCATGATGAGATAAGTGCAGAGCCTACCTTTGTGAAGGTTGCGTCCATGAAAGGTTCACAAAGCTTGTCTAGACATGTTGTGAGATTGAACATGAAACCATCCGAAGATACAGTAGTAGGATCCACCTGCATCGCTCTTCGTTTGTGGTTGATGTTCAAAGCGGCGGCGAACCAGTCCAGGACTCGGTCTCTTGCCTCCTTGTTGGCGCGAATGATATGGTTGATGACATCAAACAGATCCGAGCCAAGCATCTGCTGCATCATTCTCATGGATCTTTGCGCATTTAAGATATATGACTGATCCCGTGTCTTGGGACTTGAGAAATAGGTCATAGTAACATTGCTCTGGAGAGGTGACAAGCGGAACCAGGGACCCAGAAGCGTGTCCTTCTCAAACAGTGCTGGATCGCGAGACTCGTTGAAAAAAGACGACTCCGTAATAGCAGCTGCAATGACCGGATTACCAACCAGGTTTCGCAGGGCCTAGATAGGTTAGCGGCAGAGATCTTGAGAAAATAAAGTCAGAGGTATAGCATACCGTTAGATAAGGCTTGTAGTCATCATTGATAGTCATCGCAGCAAGGTCACGACTCATCTCCTCCACAGCGGCGATGAAGGCCGGCTTGATGCTTTCGTCTTCCTCAAATCTCTTCACAGCTTCGCCCAAGAACTCAAGATCAACCCCCTTATCATCTTCGGGATCCAGAAGAAGATATGGTTTGAGCGGCGACCGCTCAGATGGCTCGAGCCTACAGGACAACAGAATCAGTCAAATCTGTCGTCCGTTTGGTCAACTGGACAAGGGATAGGCAAGAACACACCCGAACATCTCCGGCATCGTGATCGCGAAGATGCAATAGCTCATGCACAGGCGCCGGGCCTCACAGATGACACCGAATTTCGGATCATCCTCGCGGGCACGGCGAAAGCCCTTGTGCAGCCTCGAGATCCGCCTCCAGCATGGCAGTAGGTAGTCTAAAGGCTTCTGCTGGGCATTCGAGGCGGCTTCAAGGAGGGCCTGGTCCAGGACAGTAGTCTCGATGCGCGGTTCCCGACCCTGGTCTTCGAGTTCGCTCCGCAACCCAGGCAAATAGATCAACCTGTGTCCATGGATGTCCCGCTGTCGGTCCTCCCTCAAGCTGAGCTTGAAGACGGCGCTTAGTGTGCGATCCTCAAAGGATTCAATACTCTCTTCTGCCCTCGTTGGCGGAGGGGTGCTCGATACCGGGGTAGCAGATAATGATCGGTCTGGTGCGGGAGTGGCAGAGGTTGACGGTGTGATCTTAATCCGCTTGCCTTCTGATTGTTGCAACTCCGGCCGAGGCGAAGAAGTCTGGGAGCGCGGTGCGCTGCTGATATTGATCTGTGGCTGCGGAGCGACGAAAGTTTGCTGAGAAGAAGGACTCGGCTGCGAAGGTGTAGGAGGCTCGGTAGAGGCTGTCTCTGGGGCTGCCGCGTTTTGTGAGGATGAGGATGGGGTTCCAAGCTTTGCGAGGCGCTTGTTGCGGATCTGCACGAAAAGTTTTAGTTGTCATCCAGCCATAAACCACTCACTTTGATAAAGGGCATCAAGCAGTACAGCACTCACCTTATCCGCGTCAGAGAGTGTATCTGACATCCTCTGTTGACGAGAGAGAGTGGTGAACGAATGCCCCAAGAGAAGAGGCTCTGTCAGCGGGGCAGAAGGTGCGGAGAAAGATAGAGTAAGCAGTGATCGGTATGACTCTGATTCAAGAAGGATCACAAAAGTCAACAGTCAAATAAATATGTACTCTGGCGGAATCCGGGGACATCTATGATTTAGTAACAAGAAGGATTAACGACAACGGCCGATGGATGAATGCTAGTGGTCACTCTACACAGGCGACATTCGGTCATGGTCGCTGAGATTCGCCTGCATGATTAATATCCTTAACTAAGCTAGACCGCTTTTGCCATTCCTCCACTTGTCAAGCATGAAGATAGGTAATGTCATTCACTGTGATCCCTCTGAAGAAAGAGTATCAAATGTCTTTGAGTTGATATCTCAGTCTCGCTTTCACAGCCGCTGATAGAAAGTATTTGCAGAATAAGAGTGATCGTAGACTTCCAGTAACTCATCAGTCCATGGGCCGCCATCGAAATTCTCCGCCCGTCATTGGCTTCTAATGCAAAACAAAAAAGGCAGACAGAAGGAGCAACGTCCAAAAGGAATTAAGTATGAAGAAACAAGATCTCAGGTCAAAACGCAAAGGACGTATCGTGACGCTGGTTAATTTCTCCCCTTTAGAGAATCTAACCGCCGGCAACTCTTCAGCTCCATATTCCTCGCCTCCTTCATCTTCTCTACATCTGGGAAGAACCAGCCCTGGGCCTCTTGCATCATCCGGTCCCGAGCATGTACTTCGCTCTCGCATTCGTACCGCAATTTGGTGATATAGTCGACTTCCACTTTTGTGTCCAACTGGCGAAGTTTCTTCGCACTGTAGTCTTCCACGTCGCTGGGATTGACGAAATAATTGATGTTGTATTTTGGTGTCGTCCGCTGCAGAGTATGAGGGGGTACAGCGGCGTCAAATCTGTAGGAAGGACCGGAGGGAGACGACGAGCCAGAGAAAAGAGAGGAGAGCAGAGGAAGCACGAATAGAAGGATAAGAGGGAGGAGTGACTGGAACGTTGCCCAGCCAGACGGTGCGGCTTCAGCCTGAGCGCTGGCTTCGCGAGGTCTTCGTCGCGGTCGGGGTCCTCCAAACTGGTGTACCCGGAAACCTGGACCTCCGCCCATGTTGAAAACAAACTGGGGACCTCCTAAATAGCATCCGTAAGCATGAACTCTCGGAGAGACAAAAAAAAAGATGTGAGCCAAGCGTACCGAAAGGGCTGAACCCTCCTCCTCCAAACCCGCCATTGAAGAAGCGATTGAACAACTCCTCTGGCGAGATCTCCTCCTCGAACATAGGACCACCAGCACCCGCTGAGCGCGGGAACCCACCACCACCAAAGCCACCGAAAGGAGACGCCCCCGACGGCCCAGCACTAGGCGTGAACCTGCTGTCCGGATCCCCGCCAAACTTATCAAACTTGGATTTCTTGTCCGGGTCCGATAGCACTTGGAAAGCTCGAGAGACCACTGCGGCCATATTCATCAGCTACGTCCAAGATCCCAGCATCCCAGCATCCCAGCACCTGAGCAGGAAGAACTCACTTTTAAATGCCTCATCCGCCCCCTCATACCCGTTCTTATCGGGATGTGTCAATAAACTCAATTTGCGGTATGCCTTCTTGATCTCGCCATCCGACGCTGACTTCTCCAAGGATAGAATCTCGTAGTACGCCGTGCTCGAGCATTTTCGTATCCTGATCACGGCCGCCTTCTGCTCCGCAGTGTATTTGCGATCCTGGTTCCCCTGGTTGTGTTCGCGTGATCTGGCTGAACCGCCATTATCCACGCCGGATGCTGAAGCGGACGGCATGGCGAAAGAGCGTGTATGATGGCCTTTAGTCGCCCGGTCGTGGGAGAAGAATCTTGGCTTGACACCCGCTTGGTCGGTTATCTATTCTTTTTCCTCTTATTGAGAAAAAAATCGCTTCGGAGGCGGCGCAAGTTAAAGGCGGGAGGGACCGATCCCGTGGCCGTAAGCGAAGGCGACGAGAGGATAATGCGCTTTTCAGACGGTAAACAGGAAGAGCTCGATGTATTAACAGTGAATAAGGATGAATGGCGTCAATTTGACCGTAGAGTTGTGGTGGTTGGTCGCCCTAGCTTTGGAAGATAAACGTGGTGTCTTTCGGAGGTTCAGATGTTGACGCTAAGCCCCGGGCTAGGCCTGTCAGATTATCACTCTTCCGGCAGTAGCTTGAGTACTTTATCTATCGAGCAGATGAGCTACTGTCGCATGGCTGAGCATTAATCGGAAGACAGTCCCCATAATCCTTAATTGAACTTTTTTCCTGACTTCTCATTCTATAACCTTCGTTCATTATTGAACCTTTATCAAGACATCCCACTCATCCGGAACAATGGCCGGTGCAGATCCAATGGAAGAGGCGAAACAGTCTCTCGTGCAACGAGCCAAGGCATGGGGAGGTAAGAGGACCCAGCTTACAATGAATATACAATCTGTGATGAAACTAATCAATGTTTATGCCTCTACCTCTAGAAAACCCGTTCCCTCCTACCCTCCTCGCCTCTCTCATCACAGCGCAACACATGCGTCCCTTCCAGTTCTTGCCAATGCTATTTCCCCCGGTCCTCCTATTCACAAGCTATGCGAATATCCAGGGCTTCAAGACAGACAGCGCGGGGATCAGCGCCGCCTGGTCGGGCCTCTATCTTCTGCTTGCAGGTCGGCGACGACAGCCATTGATGAAGAAATGGGGCGCGCGGGGGATTGTTCGCGGCACGACCATGGGTCTTTGTCTGGCCAACATGGCGGGCGGTGGGTTGGCTTATACCCTGGGGAAGAGAGAAGATCGCGATGAGTGAAAAGGACGATTGCACCGTACGGTTGTACTTCTCCTTGATGCTAGGTATATGACGTTGGAGTAGGGTGTTCCGGTTGGGTCGTTTATCTCAGTATATATGCTTCGGGGTGGCAGGTTCATGTATAATACACGAAACAGGTGGTAAAAAAGTCATTATGCTACGATAGCGCCGTCTGAATTTACTCGAAGTATTTCATCATCGAGATGCCGTGAGTTCGTCTACTCGGCGTACGGCCGCTGGGACAGGATGTAATCCCGGACGTTGCGAGGGGTCAACCAGTCGAGATCCTGAGGATTCGTCTGGATGGCCTCGCGTGCTTTCGTTGAGCTCACGGCCCTATCACCCGGCTTCTTCCCTTCTACAAGCTGTATGCGCTGCGCCCACTCACGCTTGCCGCCTTCATTTTCCCGACCACCCTGAGCCAGGCGGAGCAGAAAAGCCTCTTGCTCGTCCTTGCTACCCCATTCATCATTCGGACGCATGGTGACTCGTAGTCTATGTTGCGAGAGGAACGGCCCAAGCGGTTGGAGGGTATGTTCCGGGGGGTAGTACTTGGGGTTGAAGATTCGGATCAGAGTGTCGAAGCCCGTGAGATGGACCTGCTCCAGGGGCTTCGGGTATACGTCTGACTGCTCAATCTCCGCCGCCTTATCCACGAAGTATGGTTTCTTTGTCACTCCGATGTCGATCTGTTGGAGGCTCGCATTTGCCGGAGATGACGAGGTTGTCCGCAAGTGGGATAACAGGTCCTGTGCAAACAACTCCATCATAACCAGACGGTCTTCGAAGGCGGCAGGCTTGGACGGCTTATCGGCATTCTGCGTAGCGAGGAGGAGCAGCAATCGCGACGGGACGCTGGGTTTTTCGAGAAGGGCCGAGCTTGCGATTCGCAGATGAGCTAGCGTTGGGGGGTTGAACGATGAGTCCAGAACATAGAGTACATCTGGGGCCTGCGAAGGCTGTTTGTGCTCTTGTAATTGGTTCGATGGAACGGAGTTGAGTATCTCGAGGTTCCTGGAAGAAGCGATGAAACGTTTCAATGCGGCTTGGTAGTGTGATCGAAGCGCCTGGTGGGAATTGCTCGCCATGATGAATGGATGTGATAGACAAATCGACTGGCAAGACACTTACGGCCTGATGATAGTGAGAAAGGACTGTCAAACAAGCAACCATACAAACAATGCTTGGTGAAGTCACGTCAGAGGCGGCTGACTGCCGTCCACCACAGTGGGGTCATTTTGTAAGAAGTCGGGCGTATGTGGGTAGAGGCGGGCGGCTGTAGTTCTAGAATGCCCAACCCACGGCACAACGAGAGCAGATATCGAGCATTTTTGATCATCTCCATCAGAAGTATCTACTTGACAGGGGAATTGCTGGGGTCCAGCAGAGCCACTCTAATGGCTCTATCCAGGGTCCAGGAGACAGTTTCACAATTTTCAATAGTGCTCTAGATCTTGATGCTGTCATGCTTCCCTCTGGGACCAGTCTAGTCAGCATAGACTGGTCTGTGAGCCACGGGCCATATCACAAGCTCGTAACAGCTTAATTAACACGGGGACGATTATAATTGTGGGTTATTGTTGCGCGGTGTACAGACTACAGAGAACTAGGTGAGTCCCCTGGTGCCTCACAAATCACAACTCCATGAGAGCAATTCCGGACAACCTGGAACTTTGGAAGAGTCCTGGATTCTGATCCAGGGACCCGAGGCCTGGTGTCTGGAATCTGGACCCCTCTTCGGCTGATTCTGCTCGCTCGAAGTTCGAATCTCAAACGCATTACTCCATATTTGCTTGGCGAAGATCGTCTGGAGCATGTTTCATCTAGAACATCTCAATGCTTGAGGGATCTGATGCTTCTGTGATCAAGATGTGAAAAGGCAAAGCAGGAGGCAGGAGTTAGAACTTATGCAGGTATCGAGCGTGTCAAGTGGTTTCTGATTAGGCAAAATATATTTTCTGCTGTGACATTTTATTGATGCTGATTACTTATCATTGTCATCAGTTAACTATTGCAAGAAACATACTGTACAAGGAGTACATAATTCAAAAAGGAGTCAGACTACACAATGTCCCAACTCTCAAGTCCTCCATGCTCTGTGGTTCAGTATCACCATCGCTACTGCCGACGTTCAAGCCACTTCCGACGATGAAACATTGGCGTAGGGTGGTTAATATGGGAACAACGAACAAGGGAGGACAAAAGCCACGAAAGTAACAGACTGTAGCACAGATCCCTTCGCACCACGTTTCAAGTCTGAATACAGGAATGAGACTCCTTTGCAGAAGTAGTAGTAGTATCTAGGATACCATGAGTCCTCAATTGTGATGCATCATGCACGGTCTCTACTCTAAACAACGACATAGGATTCCCAGAGAAGCTTGACCTCTGAAGAAGCTATCTAGACTCTCATCATCTGGAAAAAAATGCCGCGACTCCAGAACAATTTGCTCGTTGTCTAGACTCTCTGTTCTCCACCTCTCATCGATAATCCGTATCGAGACCTATCGATCATCGCTTGCCGTTATGATGACTGTTGATCGGCAACTGTCAAAGCTCGCAATTTACCCTAGCTGGTCGAATGTCTCTCAATGTACCCCTCGGTAATAGACGCGGAAATGGCACTATTGATGTCGATTTCCACAGAGCACGCTCTTTGTATGTGAAGAATTAGATGGTTTCTTCCCTATCTCACGACGGGAACAGGGGAAAAGGGGCATAGAATCCACCGTAACCAAGAATTGGGCCCGTAATCAGTATTACCCAGAACTACTCCCGTCGTGCAGATTAGACGGGAGGACTTGAGATGATAGGTAGTAGTCTCGACGAGAGACACAAAATATGTTCATCCCAGAGAAGATCAAGATGAATTTGCCAGTGCAGGGTCCACTACTTTGGATACTTTCCTTTTTCAAGGGAAGAGTCGTGCATTGCTGGGCCTGGAACTTGAGGCAATATCATTCTTTCCGGCTTCTTTGATTTCTTTCGCCCCTCGAGAAAGTGCCACCTGGGAAATAATCAATCTACACCGAGTGCCCAGCGTACGCGAATGTACTTGGTAACTTGGCATTTACCTCCAGCTAGGACATACGGTTATCATCCTGATATCACAGCCATTTGGTGCCATAGCTGAAAAGCGTACCTATCGTTGGACAGCTCTTCAGTCTAGTATCTAAGTCTCCTATTAACTCTAGATATTCCTCGTAAACTTGTGCCGTGTCCTGAATCTATCTAGCACTATCTCGATATCGGCAAACCGAACGGCGAGAGTGGAAAAAGGAGGGAAGACAATTTAGGTACTAGTAAGATAAGTAGTAGTAGTACCAAGGAAAAATCCCACCACAGCAACGGAAAACAGAAGCGTGTGAGAGGCACGCGGAGAGATTAAGCAAGGGAAATCAGCCAATCACAGGCAGCCAGGACAGCATGAAACGGGCCTTCATCTCAGGCCGCAGCGAATATGCGTGCGGTTCCTGAGCTTGGACCCACCCAATACATTGGATATTACCTCCATCATTTGAGGCAGCTACGGAGAATAATCCATCAAGTAACGAGGTTTTTATCGACAGTATCAGAATGATACACTTCCGAGCATTGGATGTTGCCATTACTACCTAGGAGGATAGAAGAGACTGACTTGATATGCCTGTGACATTATTATGCCTGTCAGAGTCTACAACACGATACAGTATTTAGCCTTTATGCCGTCGACTTGGCCTTTTTTAGCTTCCCCACTTGACGCCACCCACTTCAGAGTCTTTTAACCTTCTATGGGAATTGAGTGCACTCTGCAGCCTGCAACTCAGGTACCAGGTACCTAGTGTTTGTACTGCATGAGCTACTTGTGCCGTGTACCAGAAACGAGATGTTTGTCGCAAAGACAAATAATAATAATAATAACAAGAATAATAATAATAATAATAATAATTAAAAATCATAAAATAATTAATTTAATTTGAATCCTACAACCAATATACAAATCTGCTCGGATGGCCCCCCTCCCTCCTTTTAATTCCCCTACATCAGCATCGGGTCTCCCTCATTTCTTCTGGGTTTTTTATCTAGACTGTCTGCTGCCTTCACTTCTGCTCCGTGTCAGAGATCATTCCTTTCTCTACACAGTCATTCTTTCATCTGATATCGGTTGCGAATAGATTTCGCTTCCCCCACACTCGTTCTCAAGCGCAGTCTTCTCCCCAGAAAGAACAGAAAACCCAAACATTCTAAAGATTAGCAAAGGCATTGATTGTCATTGTGCGATACGTCCAAAATGCAATTCACAAGCAAGCTTTCCGTCGCTCTTCTGGCCATCCTGGCTGCCGGTGGTGAGGCCAACCACCAGGCTCTCCATGCTCGCAAGTTCTTCCACGCCAGAGGCTTGAACGAGACGGCTCCTGCTTCCACCTCGACTGTCGTCGTCTATCCTACTCCCGTGCCCTCTTCGTCCGCTGGGGCCGCTTCCTCCTCGGTTGCTGCTACCTCTTCCGCTGCTGGTGACTCGACCTCGGTGATCACCTCGAGCTCCATCCCTCTCAGCACTGGTGCTCCTGGATCTGGTGGCTCCGAGACCGCCACTGGTGGCCAGGATGTCACTCTCACCTACACTCTGGGCACTGGTAGCACCAAGACCGTCGTCACCACTACTATCCACAAGACCTCGACCGACGTCCACACCGTCTACGCTGTATGTCACATGTTGATCGTCGACTACTGCAGTCATATTGCAACCGATGGACTGACTTTCTGTATCATAGACTTCCTCTGCTGCTGTTGGTGACGAACTCACCACACTCTCTTCCACTTCTACCTCGACCGCTACTCTGATCGCTGTTGTTACCTCCTCTGCTGCTTCTGGCAGCTCTGGAAGCGGAGACAGCTGCAGCCAGGCGACTGTCACCGTCACTGCCACTGTCACTGTGGTATGTATCGATTCTGTTCTTGTCTTGGGGCGTCTTCGGTGCTAACGCAATGCAATTGTAGACTGCTCCTTCTACTCTCACTGCTACCTCCACCGCTAGTGACGACGAGGATGACAACGACGTCGAGGACAGCGGCGCCAACGAGCACTACGCCGACAACAACGGCAAGGGCAACGGAAAGACCTCCGATATGCCCGTTCCCACTGAGACCTCTTTCCCTCGTGGCCCCTACGGCAACGGCACTATTCCATTCCCCAGCGGCGCCGCGAAGCCCACTGGTTTCAAGACCAGCAAGCTGCCCTACCCCACCGGCTTCCGCCGCCACTAAGTTAGCCAGCCTAATGCGAGTCGCCGGGTCTCCGAATCTGTGACAATGACCGTTGTGTAGCCGAGAGATCATCGTTTCCGAGGCGAAATGCGCCCGCTGGCGTTGTACCTCTTGAACGAGGGATTCTCCTTTATCATTTTTTCTTCTGGTACAAACTTAGATCGGGCACAAACTTCATCTAGACGTCTTTTACTCTTCTTACATTCTCATCTTATCCAACGGGGCAGGAATCTTTCTACACCCTTCTGGTGCTTCTTTTACTTCTCCCACGAAGCGGATCTGGCCAGGTCTCGCTGATTTAACCAACGAAGTTGCTTCTTTTGCAGTTTTCTGGAGACGCTTCCAGTTGAATTTCTGTATTGCAAACGGTCATTGATCACATCTGGCGAGACTCGGATACCCGACATTGTTCGACGACAGTGGCTTTTATGCAATTGTATGGTTTACTTTTTGATCTGCCGGAATGACGTAGAGATCTACGATCTGTTGCATTCTGGCAGAGTGACGATCTCTATAGACTATGTAGCGAGCGAATCCAATCCATTTCTATGGTTCTTCCCATGGTGTTTGTCTGCCACCTCTGCAGTAACTGTTGCTTCGGCCCAAGTTAGAAGCTTATCATGGACAATAGCCGTTGCAGCATGCAGCAACGTACTCAGTATCACACTAAACCCTTAGACTCCATGTTCAAATGTATACAGAGTAGCATGCAGCGACAATTCATGATCTTGAGTATACTATCACGTTCATAAAACAATCTATTATACAGGGTATCAAATGCATCAAAGCTTTCCACTCTCCAACTGCAAGACGGCATCCAGCCCCTCTGTCGAAATCCGCTGCCTCATAGCCTGCCATTCCAACCAAGTCACGCCCTGGACCAGACAGTCAGCCAGGTCATCCATCTTGCGTACATCCATGGGTTCAATCACAGCCCCGTCGTCCTCTGCCGCAGCTTGCCCTTCGGCCTTAGCCTTTGGGCCCGATTTGCCTGCCCACCGCCGCAGATACGCATCGACAAGAGACCGAAGCTCAGGATCATCCGCGACAGACAACCGAACCGGCAAGCCCGGGTGCACGCCTGACAGCCACTCCCCCGCCAGATCAATCTTGACCTTCTTCCCTTCCCTAGACGAAGCCTTCTTTTTCGGTCTGTCAGAACCCAACCCCAACCGACCCTCCCAATACGCC